ACAAACTGCTGTTAGTTAAGAACTACTTAGGAAACGAACCGAGGTTTTACTTTTACGGAACGTAAAAGTTACGGTACCACAACAATCCCCCCCCCCCCTTGTGTGGTATTGACGTTTACATGTTATTGTATCTTATTGTGAGTCGTGGGCTATATCTTGATGTGACTTTAGGATATTTATTTTTTTGATATAGCGGCACACGTGGGCTCGTTGTGCGGGCTGATCGTTGATGTACGGAGTAAAAGGAAGGCGAGATGCATATGCGGCAACATAAGGGTGGTGTTTATTGATGCGCATACGGCGAGATAAGAGGGCTTATGCGCGTGTAGCAATATAAGAGAAAATATTTCATTGTGAGGATCACTCAGCGACATAAAGATGACTTGTTGATGCTGTTATGTGGTGTTTTGGGGTGATCCTTGATGTTACTCATGTGTTGGGAAAGAGTTGATGTTTTGAACATATCCTTGTTTTCCTTAAATGATTTCACCTTGTGTGTTATGAGTTGTAGGTTGATTTGTCGTGTTATCACATGCCCCACTCTTGGTTGGGTATTTGTTGAGTTATATTCTCCGTTGTCAGTTTTATATTGATGTTTTGCACATGTTATTTGACTAGTGAGTGTTTTGACTTGAATCTCATCACTAATTCGCCGAGGTTAGTCTCGATACTTATTGGGTATCGATTGTGGTGTACTTATACTATGCTTTTGCATATTCTTTGTGCAGATCCAGGTACCTCATATCATATTGGCCGTTAGAGAGCGGTGCCGAGTTGTTGGAGACTTCAAGGTGTACCTGTTATTCCGCTCGCATGCCTCAGAGTCACCATCTTATTTCATTTGTTACTGTTTATTGTATTTCAAATAGTGATGTAATTTTTGAGACATCTAGTATACTCTAAGTAGAGCTTAGGACTCAGTATTATCGGGTTTCAGGATTTACGATTATTTTATTTTCGTTTAGTTATGTTATGGCACTTTTTAGCTTTCATTTAGTATTTAAGTTGTTATATTCTTTATGATCTCGTGTTGTGATAGGCTTACCTAGTCTTAGAAACTAGGTGTCATCACGACCTTTGAAGTGGAATTTTGCGTCGTGATTAGTCCTGAGGATGGATATTTAAGTTTCTTCACTTTTATTCTTTTTATCTTTGCTATCAAATCATGCGGAGTTGATATTGAAATATATTATGCTTAAGAGTTTGTTCACTAAACTATAGATAGATAAGATTGATATTCATATTATTCGTTGGTTAACTTATTTTTTATCCGTATTAAATATGGATACAATAAAAAATTTACTAGTGTTTTGCTTAATCTATTTTCGATGACATCGAATCTTAATTATGTCTGTTTGCCACTCCTAATTGTAATTTTGAACATCTGCGGCTATAACTTCTCTATGGTTGACTTGGGATTTAATGATCTCACCTTTATTAAATCCCTAATCACCTTTACATTCAATAGAAAAAATTTTATTTGTTGAAAGGGCTTGCAAATTTTCAATAAATCTACCCAAGAAACTGGGAGAAATTCAAAAATAGCCATATTTACAAGTGGTTGTTCAAAAATAGCCAATTTTAAAAGTAATCGAAATTTAGCCACTTTTCATGTAAAGATAAATCTGAGCGAAAACACTATTCAAAACCCGAAAAATACGCCAGTATATTATGCTGGAGTTCTAGCATAAGTATACTTGAACTCCAGCATATTATACCGGAGTTCCAGGATAAGTATGCTGGAACTCCAGCATAATATGATGGAGTTCCAGCATAAGTACACTAGAACTCCAGCATAATATACTGGAGTTCCAGCAAAGTATACCGGTCCAGTATAATATGCTGGAAGTTCATACACAAGTGCTCGAATCTCCAGTATATTATGCTGGAACTTTCCGTGTGTTGGAGTTCCAGCATAATATGCTGGAAGTTCATACACAGGTGCACCGAACTCCAGTATATTATGCTGGACCGGTCTCTGTTGCAGCAAAATCGTGGCTATTTTTCATTGACTTGGTAAACGCTGGCTATTTTTGAATGACCAGTCCGAAAACTGACTAGACCGTGCTATTTTTACCAAGAAACTAGAGCAATGGCATGGGTTTAAAACTAAATTTAATAGCTCATCTACTATGAAGCCGTTAGTTTCTTACAAAAGCTAATTGGAGGATGTAACATGCTACTTTTAAAATAATTCAGGGTTGTTTTTTATTCAATGTGACTGTACAAGGATATAGTTTAGGCTTGGGGGTATAGTCGAAGGATGTTTTTGGCCATTTGTTCTCCTAACTAATATAAATAAATGTTCATTAGAGATACGATTATATTTTATAAAGGCGACTTATGTCAAATAAATGTCACAAAATTACATACCAACATTTATTTTATACTTAATACAAAAATACATTGTCAAAGATAATAAATCATCATTACATAAGATAAGAAAATGGAATAACCCTTTTAGGTTTGTGCAGAAAAATTAAAATTAACCCAAACTTAGTGGGCGTTTGGACATAAGAGTTGTGAAACTTCGGAAAAAAGTGAAAAAAAATTCAAGTGACAATTGTATTTGAAAATTAGAGTCGTGAATGAATATGAATACAATTTGGAGTTGTTTTTGAATTTTTGTGAGTGAGAAGTGAAAATTTTGAAAAATAACTTGTTGGATTTTTTCAGTTTTTCAAAAAAAATTCAAAATTTAACTTCAAGTGAAATTTGAGTTATGGCCAAAAACTAATTCCGAAAATTAACAAAAAACAAATTTTTTTTTTGAAAAAAGTGAAAAATTTTAAAGGCCAAACGGGCCCTTAAAAACATTAGAGTCCTTATGGTCAAATATTAACCCAACTTAAGGACCATTAGGTTAAATAAAAATTCTTTTTGTGTTCCCTTTGTTTCAAGTTACACGACCACAAGTATAATTGTGAGGCAGAGACATTTTTCTGCCGTTGCCCTAAAACCCTTTCCTTAATATATGCTAGAAACCAAAACCAGACAACAGCTGCAAAACCCTAGTACCTCATCATCATCAGCAGGTTTATTAGCTTTCAAGCCTAGGCAGGTGCTTCTAGCACAGTCCTCAAAGTCCAATCTTGTTATTATGGCTAAGAAGCATCAGCCTCAAGAAAACAAATCTCTTTTACACCAATCTATACTCCATTATCTTAACCTCAATGGCTTCTCCAAAACCCTCAAATACTTCCTCAAAGAAACTCAAACTGAGGTTTGTTTTTACCCCTTTTTGCTTTCTTGAACACTTTACCTTTTAAAAATGTGATTTTTACCCATGATTTTTGAAACCTGTTGTGTCAAATGTTTGCTACTATTGGTTGTGATTAGAAGGTCAAATGGTCTATGTTTTAGTTTCAATTCAGATATAAATTCCTATTTTTGGAATGGAATTTGCATATTCAAGAACTACATTTTTGGTTAGTGGAGTTTGTTGAATGCTGATTACACTGCATTCTTGAGCTATGTTGGTATCCTATATGGCTTATTTTTGTTGGTTTTTGTATTTGCTTAAACGAATTGTATTTCGTAATTTAAGTAGGATGGTTGGTTTTCCTTATCAAACCAAAAAAATAAAAAAAAGAGGATTGTTGGTTTTATAGGTACAAGTTGAGTGGTAAATGTTGATATATCTTAGTAGAATTTAGGTTTGTTTAAGTGACTCATATGAATAAGCGAGGGAAGGAGGGGGGGGGGGGGGATATAAAGTTAGGGGTGAGGAGGCGAAAATTAGGCTAAACAGTGAGTTTGCTGAATGGAAGTGGTGTTAACAGCAATATGGTGGTGATGCGGAAAGAAAGAAATCAAAGATGTTTTGAGAGAAGGAAGAGAATATACTAACACTAAAGTACAATAGCATTTCACTTTTGGCTTATTGATGTAAAATGGAAAAATGCATATATGACGTTGATAGGCTCATCGATTTCCTCAGTTCTATCACGGATTAGTAGTGGAACTGGGTTTTTGTAAGGTTACAAATTACAATTGTAATGTTCAGCAGCATCTTAGTGCTTGTGATTAATACAACTTTTGCCAACCATTTAAGAAAAAGGTGTTAAGAGGAATAAACATGCCAGAACTATAATTCCCTCGGAAACCAGACATTAAAATATTACTTCTTAGTTTTCCTCTTATCTTTTATTCATGGACTAAAAAATGTTCAAAAAAAAGCTTTTTCTGGGGGCTTGATTTTTTTTTTCATTTATATTATGTATTATAGTTTTTCATTGTAAAAGAAGAAAATTGCTTTTTTCTTTAATGAAGAAGAAACAAAAAATACTGCTTAATTGAGGTTTCTATACCTGTGTTAGTATCGGTATGTAGAAGAAGCCTCCACTTGTTGAATCATATTTTATGTCAAGTCTGGTATTGTGCTCTACAGACTGAAGTATGTGCTAGGTCACACCCTCTGTTTTTAAAGGTTTTGTTGAGAGAATTTCGCATGTACTTTTTGTTGATTCCTTCATTTTGATGGAAAATCTTGATGTCATTATTGAATCTTCAACTTACCTATCGTGCAGTCATTGAGGTCTTTGTGCTTTTGATGCAGGGTGACAGTTGGAAGTCTTGCTCCCACAGTTTGGAGGATATATTTTGCAAGCATCTAAACAACTGGTATGTTGAGATGTTATCACTTAACTAGATTTATCGTGACGATAACTGTTTGTGTTGTACTACTTTCCTCTGTTTTGGCATATGTGGAAGAAAGAATGCTTGATTTTAAACCTTCTCAAGTACACGTCTCTAATTACTATTTGTTGACTAGAGAAGCAGGTTTTGGGGGTGGGGAGGGGGGAATAAATGGTGTCCGATACAATCAGAGGTGGACCCAGGATTTAGAGGTAGCGTGTGCGCATTTGCATTCAACCAAAATTTGCTTTGTATACAGGGTGCCACTACTAATATATCACTATTTTTTAAAGACATATACATGTATACATGGAATTTTGCTGAACATTACGGGTGCTGGTGACCCTCATTCTATAACATAGGTCCACCTCTGAACACAATTGATATGGTAGTTCCTGTACACGGCGTGCAGGTCAATAGGTTCCTTTAGCAAAGCTGCTTTCTTCATGTACTCTCTTACTTTACTGCAGTTATTTTGGCAATTTTATTTTCCGATCCCTTTTTCTCATGCTACTTGACTTGCTGTAAAATATGCAGTACTGACAATGATACAACCTCTAAGGGCCACAGTGAGGCAGGTAATTTTTGTCAGTATATCTTCGTTCATCTTAAACTTGGTTTCTTTCATCAAGCTTGTATTTGTGATGTTACGCTGTTATTCTTTCTTGATTTTATCTAATATGATCTGGTGTGCAGGGCCGGATGGCGCAAATGTGAACAACATTGCTACTAATGCTGCTGACTCTCAGGAAACAATTAGTAAGAAAAAGAAGAAAAAGAGAAGCGAAGACAAAAATGGTGATGTTCCAGATGCTTCTCTTTCGGAAAGTGTTGATAAATCGGCGAACAACGCTACTACACCTCAAGAGGTTTTAGCAGATGATAAGGTTAGCAATCCAAATCAGATGAGTGATTGAATATCTGATCATTTGGGTTATGGCGAGAATAATCTGAAGCATCCGAAGAGTCTGCTGTTATTCTATTGCAGGTGGACGTGCCTTTGAAGAAGAAGGAGAAGAAAAAGAAGAAAACCGAGGAGAAATCAAACGGTGTAGTACCTATAGGCAATGATAATGATGATGTTACCGGGAAAATAACTAAAAAAGATAAAAAGAAGAAGTCCAAGGAAGAGAATGGTGCTACTGATTCTAAGGATTCCAAGAAGAGGAAAAGATCGGCTTCTGATGAAAATTCAAACGAGGGAGTTGAGGTGGTTGGAACTGAAGAATCAAAACGTAGAAAGACCGATGGCTTGGAAGAATCAAAGGCTGTTGCCGAACAAGAACAAAATGGTGAAGTCAGTGTTGGTAATCATCAGGATGAGTTGAACAATTCTGCTAAGCAGAAATCATCGAGGAAAGAACTTAATGGATCAGCAGAGGTATGCATGCATCTATTTTCTACTATTACTTTTTTGACCTTGGATTGTCAATATGCTTAAGTCTTAACAAGGTTCGTAATTTTCTGTCAATTGTTAATGTCATAGTACAACTCTTGAATTGTCGTTGTGTACTGAAGGGAATATGATTTAAAATGATTCCTAATTTGCAGAATAATCTCAATCTTTTAAAATAACTTTCCGTCATGCTTGCATAAAGTTTTCATTAAATAATCCTGAATCATGCATGAGTTAATTTATTATTACCGATATTCTGAAAATGCATTTTGATTGCTATTGCAGCCAAAAACTGTAAATGCATTTCAAAGAGTGAAAATCGAGCAAGTGCAGTTTAAAGATGATAGACTTAAAGATAACTCTTATTGGGCAAAGGTAGAATCTGATTCTCAGTCTACCATCGTCTTTACTCGTTTATTATTCATCTTTTACCATGAAATTGACATTTCCACCTCTCCACGTACTGCTATTGCAGGATGGTGCAGAAATTGGCTATGGTGCAAAGGCACAGGAAGTCTTGGGCCAGGTTCGAGGAAGGTATATTTTCCAACTCCTGTCCAGAAGTTTGATGACCTTAAATTTACTCTTGCTGAGGATGAATTAAGGGATAATTACATTTTTGGGTCTCCTTAAAACATAATAGCCGGAAAATGTATATATTTTGCATATTAAGTATAAATATACATATTATACATAACCAGTGTATATGTTTTGTATATTTGGGCTAGCTCCCGTAATTAATTTCGGCCAATGGGCCAAAAATGAAAAAGTGCTTGAAATAAGTTAATAAGTGAATGTTACCTAGTAGATAGCTCTTTTCATGTTGAGGGAAAAGAAATTTCTGAACTCAGTTCAAACAGAGGTAGGAATACTAGATTGCTTACATTTGTTAATGTCGCTATGCCTTGGAAACTCACAAATCATCTTACAAGTATATTCATCAAGATTCACTAGTAATAAATATCATTTTGCACTAAGCTTTTCACTCGTTCTCTACTTCCTTCCCCGCTGCTCATCTTTTTTTAGGGGGCTGGGGTGGGCGTTATTGAAGCTATTAATTGCTATGCTCTATAGCGAGAGTCGCGATCATGTTCATGGTTTGCATAGGTTCTACTTTGTGTTTCAATGGCAAAGTTTAATTATGCATTCTATTTTCTCAGGGATTTCCGACATGAGAAGACCAAGAAGAAGCGAGGAAGTTACAGAGGAGGGCAAATCGACTTGCAATCACACTCGGTCAAGTTCAACTATTCGGATGAGGAGTAACATTCTTTCATGCTGTTGCCCGAGTAAAACTTATAAATCCTTTAAAAAGAAAAGGAATTCTTTTTGTAGTTGTGGGTTTTGAATTTATAAGCAGAACGATAAAAGATTTTGTCAAACTTAGAAGTTGACCCTATCAAGATAATCCCGCCTTTGAAACACTGAAAAAAGGGTCCTTCGCGTTTTCTTTTTCTTGTTTCTTAATTTCTTCAAGTGTTTTTGAGCTCAGAAACTGTGTTAATTCATGAATTTGTATTTATATTAATCATTCAAAGTCTCTTAATAAATTAATTGAGAACATGTCACTACCATGGTTAAATGATAAGCGTGTATATATTGGTACACGTCTTGTATTAATTGATTTAGTATAAACATGGAATAGTTCTGAATGTTTAGCTATTGGTTCGAGGAAGCAAAGGGGGAGGGGGTAAGATTCTAAGAAGCAGCAAAACGCAGCACTTGGGGTGAAATATTCATTTGATACTATGCTTCCCATTGTTCGGTAGGAATATAAAGTGAAAGCAATATTCTTCTTTAATTTCTTTTTCATCCAATTCTATAGGGATTTTGAATTGGATGGAATTCTGATTTGATTTGAAAGCGATAAAAAAGATTCCACTAAATATTTGAGAGAGAAAGATTAGTTCGGATACAACGATAGACTTTAGTGTTTCGAGATTGATTCCTATATATATGAGCGAAAAATAAGTACAATTAAAATTAGGTATACATTATAGAACCTATATTTACACTGTCTGAATTCTAAATCTATCACAAACAATGTCGTACCTTATTTAGGGACAAATTCAAAAATAGTCAGATTTACAAGTGGTCATTCATCACAGTTTTAAAAATAATCAAAATTTAACCATTTTTCATGTAAAGATAAATCTGAATGAAAACACTGCTCAAAATACGGAAAATACTCCAGCATAATATACTGGAGTTTCATCATAAGTATACTGGACTTCCAGCAGATTATACTGGAGCTCCAGCGGTCCAGCATAATATGCTGGAAGTTCATACACAGGTCCACCGATCTCCAGTATATTATGCTGGAACTTTCGGTGTTGCGGTAAAATAGTGGCTATTATTCAATGACTTTGCAAACGCCAGCTATTTTTAAATGACCGGTCCAAAAACTGACTAGCATGTGCTATTTTTACTCATATTAACCTCAAATCCTCCAATCTCTTCACCTTACGTCCAAATCAAGCATAGCACCACAATACCCCAAGAACGTGTCTACGATCAACCAAAGAGAAAATTGTCACTAACAAGTGTTTACTAATTTTAGCACTAAAGATATTGCGTAGGGTTTGGTATATGATTTAGAATAGAAGTTTAGTGCAGAAGAAAGAAATAAACGCAATGGACGGTGGTAGTCGTCCATTATCCAAGTCACATGCTCGTCATCTTAATTCTTATGCTTGTTGAAAATGTGTCCCCTAGTCTTGTGCTTACGAAGAAAATTTCACAATTTTTTTATGGCAATGATTTTTGAATCATTTTGTGTGTATCTTGTTTATTTTATCGCTATTTACTATCTCTTACAAACACAATTACTCAATATATCTGTAACTAAAATTTGAAACGATATTATAAATATAAAAAATGACACAGCTTATCGTTATGGAAATTTATTTATTTTTTTATTTTTTTAAATATTGACACCGCTTAGGAAAATTCCTGTGTATGTTATTGAGTCTTAGAAAAGCTGGATCCAAATCAAACTCGTAAAAAGCTAGTCTTAGAAACTGCAATCAATTAATTTTCTGCAATAATCAACTCGATCTTGATATCATCAGGGATTGTGGTAGGATGGATAGGAGCCTTCCACGCTTAACCAAAAAGTTTGAGTTCGAGTTCTGCAAATATTTTCTTTTGGTAGGGAGCACTTCCCCCTATAATGGGCAATAGGCGACCACTACTAAGAAAAAGGGAGAAAAACCGACTACCAAAATCGATCGATGGTGGTCGGTAATTGGCAAAAATCAGCCTAAAACCAACCGATTCGCGGCGGTCGGTAATCGTATGGTCGGTAGAGCCAATTGAACGATTTCGATCGGTCAATTAAATTCCAAAAATTTAAAAATTGCCGGAAATATTGACCGAATATCGGTCGGTATTTTTAATCATGTAATTAAAAAATACACCATCTGGGAATCAAACCGAGGTCTATACTATGGCAAGATACTATTCTACCATTAGACCATTAGTGTTTTTGTTTTAAGACTGTCTTTTATTTTATTTATACTCTTTAATTGCATTTTTACGCAAAAATAACCAGATGTCGGTCGATTTTATTAAAAAATAAATCACCGACCGAAATCGTTCGGTTTTTTAAAATGACCCGCCGAAATAACCGACCGATTTTGGTCAATTTTTTGAATATTAATTTTAATTTATTTTAAATAAAAAACCGATCAAAGTTGGTCGGTTTCTTGAAAAAATAAAGTTCACGAGAAGCAAAAATATTTTTCCGCAAAAAAAAATCCGACCAAAGTTGGTCGATTTCTTTAAAAGAAAAATCAAAAAATAAAATATTTTGGAAAAATCGACTGACTTTGGTCTATTTTCTGGCCGGTTTTTTGACGGCCGAAGTTGGTTGATCGACCGCGGTTAATTTGGCCGAATTCTAGTAGTAGACGCGAATCCAAATTTAATCTCCCCGAGATGGATACCAAACGTCAGATGGAACCAAAAATGAAGAAGCTCGATCTTGATAGCTTCGGTCGAATATTCATAATCGAACTTTTGAGTGCCTGCTCCAATTTACAAATATATACTAACAAAATTCTAGGGCAGAAGAAGCTCAGATAGCTATAGATATTGATTACTACATCATTCAACTTCTGCATGTAGTCGGGTGACGACAAATAGTGAAATTTCTAAATATTTTCCTTTTGATGTTTTTATATATAGAAAAATTTAAAAATATAATTTTTTGGTTGAGAATATCAAACAATACTTTTTTTTTTGGTTTCCCACCCGGTGTCCGGTACCCGTATTGGAGCCCGACTATATCCGGGTTCGCGCCGCCTAGGGCCCCATTCGGGGGGAAGCGTTCCCTACCAAGGATTTTTCCATACCCAGGGCTCTAACTCGAGACCTCTGGTTAAGGGAGGAGCAGTCCCATCCACTACACCACATCCTTTGGTGGTCAAACCTACCAAGCTATGGTATACTTGTTTGGCTCAAAAGATACTAATTACTTTGTAAGCGAAAACAATCAAAATGAATCAAAGGTAAATCGTAATCGAATATAATGATGCCTAGAAATATGTATTATGCTTGTTATTGCTTCAACAACTGGGATATTCGAGAGAGAAAGGAGTGCTTGTTTAGAGAGAGAGAGAGAGAGAGAAATAGAGAGAGAGAAAAAGAGTTTGTTATCCAAAGATCAGATGCCTTTACAACATTGGGATCCTCCTTTATATAACAGGTGAACTCCCTTGAAACAATAAAATAATGCAGAGATAGGTCACGTGCTTTCGAGGAGACGACGAGACCTAAAGGCACGTTTCACCCCGACATTCTTAGGTCGTACCCTCGTTTCGACTATTGCTTAGTCGCGGGTCGTTGCTACCGTAGTGGGCAGAATTTGACCCCATACAGTTAGTCCCTCCGTTCGTCGGTGACGTAACGAAGTGCGTCTCCGATGGACGGAACCATGAACCTTGTTTTGGGAGAATTTGACCATGTTCGGGGACGACGACGTAGAGGGGTGATCATTTGAATCTGTTGATATATTGGCGCGCAATCCCTTCCCTAAAATGACGTCATCATATGCATGTGTCATCATTATGCGTATTCCCGAGGAAGTACAAAAGGTGTTCTGATGCTCGGTTTCCCGCGCCTGTTTGGGCCTTGCCTCTTCGATTCAATGCCGCCTAACCCTATAAATAGGGAAAGGGTTTAACTTAATCCAGTTTTAGATCATCTGCAAACGTTTTCCGATTATTTAAGAAAACTCTTCCTTTCTCCGAAAATCCACCGCTTCTCTGAAAGCACATTTGTGGTTGTGTCGTACACCGCTCCTTAAACGGATACAATGACAAAACCTAAACGGGATAATAATCCGAAGGCTCGTAATAATAAACCATCTGACGCGCCGCCTTCCCCCTGCGGCGATAAGGGAGAGAGAGAGGAGGATCTCACCCCTCTCACTGTGGATAATGTGCTACCGAAGCAACTCCTTATCAGGAGAGACTTCCAACGGGACTCTCCTGAGCAACCTTGGGAGAAATTCGAGTTAACGCAAGATGATTTAGATAATCTTCGTACGTCGTTTGATATACCCGCTCACGTGGAGATGGTTTTGGCGGGAGCAGATTTCGTGAACGCACACAGACCGGGGTACTGTGCGTTTTACGAATATCCTTCTTTAATCGGCTATGGCCTTCCCATTTTTCCATTGGCGGAAGAGCTCTGCCGTTTTTACAACATGTGTCNGAAGGACAGACGAAACTAAACAACGAAGTAGATCATACAATACTACTTAACTACTATATATCTAGTTCTACGTACACACACACACACACACACACACACACACACTAGGGAGTAATTTATTCATGTATTAGAAGTAGCATAATTAATACCATGTTTGGTAGCCTTTAGTTACTTAGTATAAAATTAGCACAACAAATACAATGTTTGGTTGGCATTTTATAATTCCACATAAATAAAACATGTATAAGTTATAAGTCAATTTACGTATTATTTTATGCGGGGTAGAAGATGGATAACTAATACATGTATTTGTATTACATGGATTAAATACTGAAATGATTAAATTACCCTCTAACACATGCTTTCCTTTTCGATAGATTCATCTGTACCCAACTCTTTGGAGATTTGGTACAATATTAATATTTATTAAAAGAAGTTGCATAATGACTTGGTAAACCAGTTCTATTTCTAGTACAAAGACTTAAAAGGACATGAAGAAATACAAGTTNCGTAATCGAATATAATGATGCCTAAAAATATGTATTATGCTTGTTATTGCTTCAACAACTGGGATATTCGAGAGAGAAAGGAGTGCTTGTTTAGAGAGAGAGAGAGAGAGAGAGAAATAGAGAGAGAGAAAAAGAGTTTGTTATTCAAAGATCAGATGCCTTTACAATATTGGGATCCTCCTTTATATAACAGGTGAACTCCCTTGAAACAATAAAATAATGCAGAGATAGGTCACGTGCTTTCGAGGAGACGACGAGACCTAAAGGCACGTTTCACCTCGACATTCTTAGGTCGTACCCTCGTTTCGACTATTGCTTAGTCGCGGGTCGTTGCTACCGTA